GGTTGTGCTTGCAAAGAGGCAATGAACTGTTGGTCATATGGCATTTCATTAGCATATCATTGTTTCAGGATAGAGATAGACTAACGAGTGAACATGATTGTGGAAATATTTATCACCTGTCATGTACAAAAGGTATTAATGTCTTTTATTTCTTCCTACTTCCCCTTCTGCATGATTTTGCATCCGGTTTTGCATGATTATTTAAGAAGGCAAAAGGTACCAAGACACATATGCAGGTAAGGACCGCTTAATAGCAAGGCAATTTACATACTTCAGTTTCCATAATGGCAGAGATAAAACACTCAGAAATTACCTTAATAAAAAAAATTCAGAAACTTATTTACCCAAACGTACTAATGCATACTTTTGCACCGGTGAATAATGCTGTTTTTGCCCAAAAAAAAAAAATCAGAAAATATTTTGCATCATGATCATAGACATAGTTGTCCCATGACAATTAAATTCAGGAAAAAAAATCATAACATACTGTTGTTTCAATTCTGCAGCTGCAAATAAATCACAAACAGCTTGGTTTAGGTAAGTCGAAAATGAATGTAGGTATCCATTCCTCATCGTCCAAATGAAAGCTCTTCAACCCCGACATGAACAAAATGATATTGAGTGAGGTCCAAAAGAAGATAATGGACACTAAAAATCCGAGTGCATCGCATTTGATTTACACTTTACACTGCATGTAATATTTCATTTACAACACCAGAATCGCCCGATTAACTTTTTCTAGTGCTGTGTCAATGACTATGGTTGGTGTTAGATCACACTCAAGAAAGATTATTTTCCTTGCCATGGAGCATTCAATAAAAATGGGAGCGCAAAAGCACAAAAAAAGAAAGGCTCAAAAAACGAAGTTGCTATGTTTTGAGTACAAAGAACATTAACATATCATTGTGTGAACCCGAGCAGGCCCACAATGGAGATTCAACAGAAAGCAGATAGAACTTGAAATTTACCCAGAAATGCTTCCATACACATGATAATTTGAGCTTATTCTGAAAACAACATTCTACCAGTATGCCAGATAATTAATAATAAAAAGATTCACTTGAACAATAATTCCTGACAAATTTTAAAGCCAACTTAGCAGCTAAGACTCCGTAGATTGGTGGTTACAAGGATAAAGCTACTATTCCAATATAAATAATTTCATGCCAATCTTTGTTGTTTCCCCTGGAAAATGTATGTCATTTTTGCTGCAGTCAAAATACTTAACGGACTCAGGAATGGGGAATCTAGACAAGCTAAAAATAATCCAATTACTCAACTAGTTTGCAACTGCAATGCATGATGATCTTTAACCCTTTATGATAATTTCTGTTCCCGGCGGATTGGAACAGTATTGTAAACTGTAACTCTTAATTCTTATTTTAGCAATAAGAATAAAGCAAAATCGATCCATAACCTGTAACCCAAATCTTGCAGTCAAACATATTTCGGTTGATTATAAGACCAGTTAGAACTTTTAGGCTGATTCGAAACATCACGAATCGAATCATAATCTAAAGATAATAGTCTTCGTTTTAACTCCAAAACCATGACGGAACATCAAGGACAGAGATACGGGTCGACCTGGGAGGATCGGTGGCCGGCAGCGGCGGCGTGCTGCTGGTGCTCGGGGTGGCGGCGCTCCTCGGGGAGGGCGACGAGGTAGGAGAAGATCATGCCAACGAAGCAGACATGGTAGAGAGGCTGGATGTAGATTGTCTCGATGTCCTTCTAGATGTAGCGATCAACCGCCTGGTCCGCGCTCTTCTTGATGTGATCCCATGACAGCTTGGGCTTCAGGTTCGAGGGAATCTCCCTCACCTTCATCCCCTTGATCTCGTTGTAGAACGCTCGCAGCGCCATTGGAGCACCACCATTGCTAAAATCCCTAACCCGATAAATCGAGATAACACAAAAGAGGCGGACTTTGCGGATCCACGACCCCAGTTTCCGATCTGCATTCGAAAATTCTCGTATTTAGACTCATATTCGGGTCGCATGTTTCTCACCAGAATTGTGTGAGATCAAGGGACGGTGCAGATCAATTGTGTGACGTGTCGGGCTTGATTTATTATAGCTGCTGCCTGATGGAACAAAATACGCCTCAACTCGCTCCATATCTCGCTCCGCGAAACACATCGTTTCCGTTTTCCCTTCGGCGATGGCGGAAGAACCCCAAACCTATCGCTCTCATCCCCATCCGACACCTCCAACCACGAATAGCGCTGTGACACCTCAGGTGCGTGTAATCGTTTGGATCCCTTCGACCCCGCCCATGGCTTGGCCGTCTCTTTTGATTCATTTGCTGGATCGGATCGGTTTCGTTAGAGGTAGGGTTTGTGTCTGCCGACATGTGGGTGAAGCACGATTCTTCTGCTTTCTTGTCCATTTCGGAATTTTATGATTATACGTCTCGCTTCCATTCGTTCAACTCCGCGTTTGGTGACTTTCGTCCTGAGAATCGATATCTGGGCTTCTCCTGTTTTCTCCGAGTCATTGGTTTATAACTGGAGTTTGGAGGCGTTAAAGATTTAGTCTTTTTTATCCCTTTTCTCGTTACATCTCGTTTCTGATGGGTAATTGGTGTCATTCGGGAATATATGAGCCATATGTGCGGTAAGTAACCATCTGAAGCGAAGTGATAATTTCCCGTCTTCTCGAGGAAAATATAATATATCAGCTTGTGTAAATTCTTCAACGTAGATGTTAAAGTTGGATTATTTTTAGTGCACATCTCTTTTCTGTGCACTATTAATTGCATTGGAGAAATTAATTCCTCTAAGAAGGGTCCAATTATTTTGTCTTTTGATGGTTACTGACCTCATATGTGTTGGCAATTCAGGTACCTGGTATTTCTGGCTTCCAGGTGTCTCCACTCGTTTTGCCTGGAATGCTTCCTATCCAAAATCCAGATTACAATGAACATGGATCAGGAATTTATGCTATACCATATCTTCCATACACGAGGCCAATGGCTGGGTTTTCTCCTAATACTCTCATTCCATTAAAGTATAACATACCAACGTACGCCTTTATTTCCTTCTGCTAAAATCATATCATCTTTTCTTTTGGGTTTAATCAAATTGTAGGCATTTAAATCGAGTCTCTTTTAGTTTCTTAAGACTTCCCCCTGATATTTTTGTTGTTAAAAACAAGGAACCAGGCTCACCTGTGAAGCCTCTGCAATGTAAAGATACTTGCCTAAAACTGGATACAAAATGAGGTGTAGCTTTGTCATGTTTGCATTCAATCAATAATTTTCAATTTTTGGAGACAATATTGAAGTTCTTCTTTGAGAAAAGTTTACTGTTAAGCAGTATTGCCCATTTGATCCTTCATTAAACTTAAGTGCACACATAAACTTGAGAACATATTTTTGTTTAATTATTTTTCACTGTAATAGCTGATGCTTTTTCTGGTAATTGACTTTTGCCAATTTGTCAGAGGGTTTTCTGTTAGTTAGAACATTGTTAGTGTTATTTTCCTTGCTGTTTTGTCCTTGGTTTTGGTGACATTAATCCTAACTGTACCTTCTATTTTCTGATTATCATTTGTCAATCCGTCGTATAAATCAATGTCCATCTTTTGAAATTTTTTTTTGCAAGATACTGTTTCTTGAAAAGCAAGATATATGAATGTGAAGAATGGACTATATTCAGTCTAAATATTATTAATTATACAATTGGTAACCATATAAATTTACATTGCTATTGTGCATTAGCATGTTATTTAAACAGGTAGAGTATACAAACAGCATCCTTCTGCCTAAATAACTTCCATGAAAATAGAACACCTATTGCTTTGCAGAATCATACTTTTTGACCGTTGACCACTTTATTATCACGATTTTGCTGCAGGATTATAAGTTTTATAATATTTACATACTAAGCTGAACAGAATTCGTTTTTGCCTTTCTTTCATCTTAGAATCCTTCTGCTCCTTCTTCCCTCTTCTTTACTCTTTTGAGGATGTCCAATCAGCTACGAATATTCAAAATCCAACAACTTTGGTTGCATTTTATTTATTCTGGCCAATTCCAACCTATTTCTGGCTATAAGGTTGGCAAATCAATTACACCAGATCAGTCTTGGATGAGGAATCAGATGTACTGTGCTAAAATTGGCTGAAACTGCAACTGTGCTTGTTGGTCTATGTCATAAACAGAGTGAAAGTATACTAGAAACAATAATGTGAACGCATTCTTTTCTTATATCTTATGTGCATCTTTCAGGAGGCCAAGTTCTGGAGGAGCTAGTGATGAGCATGGGCAGGAAGCAAGGCATCAACATGGCCCTCAAAGACAAGTAGCAGTAAGGAGATTCCACTTTGCATTTCAGCTTGACTTGGGTCTGATCATCAAGTTGGCGGCGATGGTCTTTCTTCTCAGTCAGGATGGATCACCACAAAAGCTCGTTCTCCTTATTTTCTTTGCATCATTGGTTTATCTGTGAGATCAAATTCTTTCACTATAATACCTGGAATATATTTGTGCTTTCATTTGCCACAGTTTGCATTTAGTCCCAGTCAATCACCAACGATCTACAATCCTTTGGCTATTATCAGAAATGTAAATGTGATAGCAGAGTTTTGGCTGGTGTCTTAATAGCTATTGTGGTGGATTGTGTCTCAACTTCTAATTGTTTTATGCCTTCCTAATTCATAGATATCAAACTGGTGCTCTTGCTCCTTTTATACAATGGCTTCAGCAAGCAGGAGCTCCTCGATTGCAAGCTCCTATACGGCTACAGAATGGTCCTCCTGTTGGTCGTGATGGTCAGAATAATCCTCAACCTGGTACGCTTCTAAACCTGTGAAGAGTATGTTCCTTGATGTCCTCTTTAAGTCTTAACTACTATTTTGCTTTTCTTCATCTCAATCTATAACATCATGCCAATGAGTTTTGGGAACATCACCAAAGTGAATCATTGAGATAATTGTACTCATGGTACCAAATTTTCCTTTTGTGGATTATGCAATTGCTACTTTGTGGATGGACCTCTATCAAATTCTGGAAAGCCATTTCAAACAAAGTTGAGCTGGAACCATGTGTTTTTCCTGTACTAAAACATGCCTTTTTAATGGCGGCAGTTGAAAATCATGGTGTTGACGATCAGAATCGGAACCAACCAGCCGAAAACCAGGAGCAACCAGATACCAATGACAATAATCCAGAACGTGAAGGACATGGAAACAATTTTTGGGGAGTGGTGAAAGAGATTCAATTGTTTGTTGTTGGGTTCTTGACTTCTCTTCTTCCTGGCTTCCATAACAACAATTAAGTTATTTCCATGAGTGTTTTCCAAACAATCAATAGGTTGTGATTATTTAGGTCTGAACATGAGCAAAAAGGGTAACTGGGAAGGTTAAAGTCTGTTCCTGCCATTACCTTTAGGTTTCTTCGAATTCAAGTGGATTCTTATGTCATGTGGAAAGTTTGATTTTGATTTTAAGCGATACTGTGTATGATATCGGTTCGATGTGTATGATAGATATCACTTCGGAAAAGTTATAGGCCTCACTTGCAAACCCATTGTGAAATGTCCCAACTTGATCATGCCTGTGTGTGCACATTCAATCTAAAGTTAAGACAGTACAAATGTACATACATCGCATTGCAAGCTGAAACATCACATTTATCTCGTCACCATTCATATCAAATGTGTTTATCTGAAATTAACCATGCAAACCCAACTTGAAGAGAGCACAACAAAAGGTTTGGTTTATGTTACTTGTGACCATTAGTGCAGTCTGTAGCACTCACACTGTGAGCTTTGTGGATATATTGGTTTTTGCAAAAAAAAAAAAAAAAACTTTTTTTTTTTTTCTTTTTCTATTTATATATAGTTGAATCAGTAGCTTTACTTGGGATTCTTGTCACGTGTCATTCGTGGAGGTGATCAAGTAGGAGGCTTTTGGGTTGGGTCGAGGGCCACGTGGTGTCATTCGTGGAGTTGATAACTTATGGCTACCTAAGGCCCTTTTGGTTGGGTTGTGGGTGACGGAATGGCTTCAAAGCGGTAAACAGGAAGGGAATGTGTCAGGTGACTTCTTTGTCGGGGGCTTTAGGTGAGGTCCACCGGGTTCTGAAGCTAGAACGCACATGAAAAATGTGACTTTGGGTTAGGGCGCGGTATCACGTGGCATTCTTGGAGCCGATTAAAGTGCCGCTTGTGTAAGACCTCCCTCGGGATTGGTTGCAAAGCAACAGGCAGAGGGGACGATGCAAGATGCTTCTTAGTCGAGCACTCTAAGTGGGTCCACTGGTTGCTAACACGCAACAGAAACAGAAGCCGGATCGCGCATGCCGATCTCACCCATGTAACGGTAGAACGAGATCCTTTCGCTAGCCATGTCACGGAAACAATGGAATGCATGATAAAAGTGTCTCTACCTAATAGAATTTAATATGCTTCTAACATCAACATGTGCAGCAACCCATCATTAGGTGTACTGTTAACATCAACAGCTTCATTCCTAAACCTCCTTAGAGTGGATAAATGAAAAGGTTTGTGCCATCCAATTAATTACTTGAGCATCTTAGGTATTCATGAAGGGAGTGGGGAAAACATTCCTCTTAAATTATACTTACTGCACTCTAAATTTTCATAGATTTTTTTTATCAACTTAGATTAAAGAAAAGACAATGGGATTTAGTGGTCATATGGCTGAATCAATTGAGAGAAGAAGAATATAATGCTCACCCAACTGCAATCTTTTGAAGCTACGGGATTCCAAAGCAACCAACAGAGATGCATGTTTGTGATGACAAGAAGCTTGCAAATATCCTAAATAGATTGGAAAAAGGGGGAGTTGAACAAAATTTTCTGTCCAAAGTTTAAATAACCAAAGAAGATAAGGAAACATATATTACAGGGCATAGCGTACCACATAATAGCAGCCATCCCAAGCATACTGGAGCAATTCTGTATCCCCAACAATCTTCCATCTTTTTTCGAGGACCAGATTGGCAGAATAGTATTACCAAAGCTTGAGCTTCACAATTTTACAAGGATTCTCACAATATAAAATGATTTGTCATGATCGAGAGAGATTTACTAAAAAAAACACTACACCAAAGAATGTTAGTCGTGGGGATAACTCAAACGATCATGTAACTGGAGAACAACTTGCATCATATTGTCAAGGGCGTCGGGCAAAAATTTCCTGACAAACAAATAACATTGGTCTCTTCATTCCGTTCCATAAACATGGCATCCACGTCTCATCTTTCTGCAAGAGTCACGAATCTTATTGACTTTTTCTTTGATATAAAACATGGGATAGCATACTTAACATGTGCACTTCATGCGATCAATGAGTGACTGGCTTTTTTTTCTTTTAATTTGTATTGTATATCTATCGGGCAAATCATTTGGTTATAAATCAACTTTGCAATATAAATTAACTTGGCAAATCATTTAAATTGCCAGATACAATATCACATTTTCATGAGACTATTCTCCATTTTATTTTTCTAGATAAAAAGCAGAATGACATGTGAACCAGTTTTGAAGGCAGTTAGTTATTCATGTGCATTAGAATAAAGTTGTCATGATTCCAAGACTGCAATTGCATCGATATAGACTAAACAAATACATAAACAAAAAAGTTATGTAAGGCCTGCAGCTACCAAAGTCGCAAAATTATTGGACACCGTACATAGCAAATACATATACATGCATAAATGGATATACTTTCATGACCAAAACTCACGTAAAGCCCAACCTCCCATTTCTAATGAGAACACAAAATAGTACGTGCCATAGGTTCTTCAAGACCTAGACACTAGTGCGGCAAGCTATCTACATTCTACCGATCATAGTGGGAAAAGATAAATCAACTAAAAAATTTTGCCACTTAGAATTGCTGAGAAACACTCAAATTCTTCGATTGTGCTTTTATTTTTAGCCTGTAATTGGACAGTGGAGCCTCTAACTTCCTTTCTCTTTCTTCATTGCATTGTGGTTGGAAGATTCCATCATTGAAGTGCAAGATCTTCAAAGAGATGCAGAAATGAATTAAATTTTTTTTTTTTTTTGTCATGCAAAATTACAATCAGAATTGATAAAAAGCTCATACAAGTTCCTTGAACCAAAGCACTTTTTTCTATAAAACCATACTGCAATCTCAAATTGTCTAGTTCAATTCTGCTTTAGGCAACTTTATACATACATACATGTATACATGTATACATATATATATATACATATATACATATATATATACATATATATATATATTGTCTAGTTCAATTCTGCTTTAGGCAACTCTATACATACATACATACATACATACATACATACATGTATACACACATATATATATATATATATGTATATATATATACATATATATATATATATTTATTTATGCATACATGTATATATACATAGAACACACACACACCTATATAAATATAATTCTCATCTTGTCTTATACACTGCTACGGTCCTACTTAGGATATGAAATGAAAAATGATGTAGGCATGTACTAACCCTGTAATAAAGCTTGAACTTGTGAAATAAAGGTTGTCTGCCATAACTATCAAAGCATGTTGGCACTTTCTTGAGAACCACTGCCATTTGCATGACTCAACATGTCAAAAGACAACAGAAATATCTTTCTATATAAATATAATATATCTTTTAATTCTTTTAAAGAAAAGGCTTCTCTTTTAAAAGGTAAAGTTAATAAAATGTGCATACATTTGCTCCAAGAAAAGGACATCTTCACTACAGTAATGTTACAGCATGAAAATGCAGATGCTGTTTTATATCCTATAAAGAGAACGATGACTTTAACAGTTAGAAATGCATGAAACTGCTAATAATTGCTCCTAATCTCAACATATGCTCAATGAAATGGAATTTGATAGGCTAATGCATCTCTTTGCCTATATAGAAGCCTGTTAACAATTGAGGTGGCAGCGCAGCAAAGGGTTAGAATTTTGTCCTATGAAGAGAGCCAATAAGATAGATAAATAATCTAGGTGAGCTCCACTTCTCAGGTCTTACTGGGATTCTCTATCGTGGCAAACAGTCTATCAAACCACAAAAGGCTGGCTGGTCCACCAAGTGAATTTGCCTAAAGAAACCATAGAGAAGAAGGCCACATGAACCCCCTTGCTTATAAACCACCAAGAACCATTTCAATTTCTCCGCTAACCTTTTAACAGGTTGGTTATAGCAAGTCAGCTGGTTCTCAAACCATCATCGTGAAAATTGATTTCCAATTTATTGCTTTAGATTTAAGATTTTGATTCAAAATACTTAGCTGCAAAAGAAGAAAAAGAAAAAGGGGCATTATACTAACCAAAAGTAATATCGGGATAAGAAATGGAATTTGAAAGACTGATAGTTGTATTTGCTGGAATAACTTTTTTGGATTGAAAAGAAACAAAATCAAGATAATACTTTCACAAAATCGATAAATAATTCATCATTGAGTTTAAAATCATAAATAAATAAAGAAAATTTATCACCCCAAGGATACTAAATAAGTATACAAAACTAAAAATAAATGACTCACCGCTCAAGAAAATATCCAAGAGATATAGAATGAAACCTACCACTCTATGGTAAACCAAAGAGATACAGAGTTAAAAGAGAACTCAAAGAGTTTTAGCAAATACTATCATATTCTAAACTATTTCTAACTCTAAAATATCAAAATAAGTACTAGTGTATGAAATAACCCTCTGAAACTATATAATTTATTGCTTTGCAACTAATAACTAAGCCCTTTAATGCATTCCTTGATCATAAAGAAAAATTGAATTAACTCTCCCTTTGAATCTGCTCACTAGTTGGAAAATTAAGAGTCTGAGCTTTTTCAACTTATACAGGCATGCCGCTTAACTCTTTAGTAATTAATTTAGGTTATTCAATCAAGTTGGGCCGTTTGGATAATGGGCTTGTAACTTATTTGGCTTATGGGCTATCATGTTTGAGAGGTCTGGATTAAAGACTTAGAGAATATCATAGGATCATCAAGATTGACGCGAGCTAATTGTAGGAAATTAGACACTCCCGTGTCATCAAGAGATTCGATTAAAAAAGACCAAGGAATGAACAAGAAGACCATGAAGAACCAATTTAGTACCCTGCATATGGAATAACTTTGTCCAAAATTTACTCTTGAAGATGCAAGTAGAATTTGTCACAAGCACAATGCGTCCCTTATAGCGTAATTCTTTTGAGTCCCAATTGTAATGAGCCACGGAGCTTGGTGCTTCCTCCAATTTGTTTATGATCTTATTTGTTTCTAAATCATCCTGCCATTCCATCTTAATATCCTCAAGGAAGTCGCTGGTCGGAAGTGAAACAACCGAAAATTCAGCTTGCTCGGGTAGTTGCGAAAGCGTATCTGCAACAACATTCTCTTTCCATTTTTTGTAAGTTCTTTTATAATCAAATCCAAGAAGTTTTGTTACCCATTTTTGTTGCTCAAGGGATGATATCTTTTGCTCCAAAAA